TGACACTGAACACTGAATACACTACTGTCGCATATTGAATTGGACGTCACTTTATTGTGGTGGCTAATATTGATACTAATAAAAAATAATTTTTAGCATGAAGCATGTGTTCTGTTTATAAGCTTATCCACCTTATTTTGCAATGCGGAAGTAAGCTATTTTCTGTGAATATGCGAGACGTCCGATTAGAAGGACAACAACTAAAAGAATAGTAAAGTGCAGTAAACAGTTAAACTTTTTGTGCTACAAACCAGTGTGTTTATGATTACGATAATACATTTAAATTATATGATAACAAATACCAGTTTGCAATATGAAGCAGCATAACTGACTGTTTTTGTAAAGCTAAAATAAGTGAAAAGCAGATGACACATGAAGTCTCGCACATTCAATTTACAAATGACCACATCTGCTCTTGTGTTAAAAATAAGGTGGATAAAAGAGGACTTCTCAACACAACCTCATCCGCATTGCAGCTGATGCATTCTGACTGACTAATAATGACTTAAAACTGAGCAAAATAGGAAGTGACAGTGGTCTTCTGTCACATGTGAACATGTCAAGGGGGCAGAAGGTTAGAGTGATAGGTATGTGTGACAGGGTCACAGATAGAGTGTGGATCCCACACTTGGTTAGAGAGGATTACAGGCGCTGTCTTTGTAAGGGTATGGTGATAGGGCAGATAAGTTACTGTAGAACTAGGTTTGCTCCTATATAAGGTTTCTATGCCCTGGATATCAAGATAATGAATCCCTCCTAGGTAGAGCAAGCGTAATGAAATTCAAAGACAAAGAACTTTCTCACCCTGAAATCTCTCACTCTCAAGTACATAACGACATCTTCTTTGTGGCCCGTGTAAAGTCACATACTCATTCTAGGTCTAGAAAGGGTATATGATATCAGGAGTATTCAATATTCAGATGCAGATGTGAGAATTTATATAATAAATACAGAACTCCTTTCATTACTTGCAATATCAGTGAATACTTAGGGGGCAATGAAATTAAAATGCATAAATTCAAGGTGACAGCATTCTGAATAAAGCATTCTGAACAGAAATTGGTCTTCTGACATGAAAAAAAGAACATTCTTTACATTAACGTCGCATTTTCCTTGTTAAATTGCATTTGGGTTGGCTAACTTATCAAATTGTAACCTATAAAGATGAGGATTAAAAACTTTAATAAAGACATGACTGGGGAATACAGATAAAGAGAGAATACATTTTTGTTTTCCTAGTGGCACAGCAAGTAAGAGCAGCCTTTTTATTGATGTAAAGACACACTGACATCGAACTTGACGTTCAGTATGTGGGTCAATGGCATGCTGATTCATTAGCTGATCTGAAAGATTTGTCAAACGGATTCAGTGTAAATTTGTCTGTCTTTTTGAACACTTAATTAAAATAACCGACTAAAAAGAGTCATTCATTTGTGAATTGGGCTGCATAGGCCACACTGTTTGTTTTTGCATGCCATTTTTGGAAAGTCGTGGAAATGCAATTGTTGGAGCAAATTAAAGTGAAAAAAATACTATTTGCTAAAGTCCGCTATGTACCTTTTTAGAAGTTACACTATACTTTACTGCATTCCAAACTCAGAAATGTAAAAAGGGTCGATTCTCACACTTTCTGTGACCCACAGTTTGAAAACCACTCTTTAAATGGAATTGACAGAAAGTGAATTTGATGGTCCAGACCCCATGTGTATATAGAAAACCTCTTATACTGAGAAATATGACTTTTCAAAACATGTCC